CACGTTGCACTCATGTCTTAATTGCTTTCTTGTTAGATGAGAATGTAACAGCGATGCTGTAGATGACCTGGTCTACAAACTTGAACCTCACTGACCATTTGTGGGATGAATTGGGACAATATGTGGCACCCAAGCTTCAGAGACCAGTGAACAGGAGAAATTAGAAGAATAGGACAGAAACGCAAATGAGTCACACATATACAGCTTGTTTTGCTTCTAATGGCAGTCACACAACCAACTTACTTGAGACTTTCATAGACCTTACAATTACCATTGTTAGCACAATAAATTAACTTATGTGTTGTCTGTTTAATAATCTGCGAGTGTACCCGTTAGAAGAACAGGCATTTACAGATCAATACCTTGTATAATTTGTTTCCGATAATAACTTTATGAATTTGTTGCAGATAAATTGATCACTTTCTTTTGAGTCATAGAACATATTGTGCATAGGACTCTGAGGGATTTAGCATTATTTTTAATTAACACACAAAATTCAAAATAAATCACTGTCTGGACATTCACAAAAAGCTCAAAAGACTTTTTGCAAGTGTTTTCCTTCTATATTCCAGAGACAGAAATTTAACAGCAATCTTCCCTCAAAATGTAGCTATTTTTAAGGTAACAGCTAATCCTGAAAGATCTATTTTTTGTAGTACAAAAAAAAAATTACGGATCTGTGAAGAGTGACAAATGACTAACTCTTGAAAATGTGTAAATTAGATTAGATTGGTAAATGCAATGGATTAGGTACAACAGCATTTTTACATTTCTATACATGCTCACATATAAAGTAACTCAAAAGTGTTAATGATGTCTATGACTTGTGCAACGTTTAAATTTATTTTAAAAAGTCAATGCAGAACAATATACAGAAGTTTCAGAACAGGGAGGAACATCAAAAACAAGAAATAAAATGTTTGCTGCGCTTAATTCATGCATACACATGCCATTTAAGTTTCTATATTTAGCTTGCAAATGTCCTGTTACTCGTCTGCAGCCTGTGGTTTCAAAGACAGAGAAAATACGAGTGCAGCTCGTTTTCCAAGCACTGTGCAATTGCACACAAACAACGTTACAGTGTGTCTATGAAAACTGAATGCAATCTTCATAAACCAGCTGTGGTTCACCTGCAGGCAAAAGTTACAGTATATCATATTATTCTCCCTTGGTAAGGGGGGTTTGTATATTTAGGTCAAACCAAACCTCAGACTGGTATTTCATCCTTCGTATTTCTTCATTTCTAACAGAGCTGACACCTCTGTTAAGTATTTCATTAAGGTAAACAGAATTCAATCAACTTCTTTTTGGGGCAGAGTTTAGCACTGATAAGCTAAAATCATAAGAAGGAAAGAAATGAATGTGAATGTCAAACATGGAGTCTCCTTTATAGGCTTGCATGTTGTTTAACTCTCTACATAGGTGGACTGCTTTCTAAGAGTGAAATTGTGCTGCATTCTTCCAGTAGAAAACGACAAACCAATTTTGCATGTACCTAAAGACACAATAACTACATTCCAGAAGGAGACTTAATTTGATAGGTGACAAAACTGTAACAATGGTGTCCGTTTTCTGATTCTCTTTTTTGTTTTCTGGATTCTAGGTCTTCAAGATATCAATATTTAAATGAAACTTGATCATTTCAAGTTTTCAAGAGGAACAAAAACACAGTGTGAACACAGTACTGCATCAGAATTTTTTTACAGAGCAAGTCTTAATTAGTGACATATTTAAAAAAAACTGAAATTATTAGTTTAGGATTAAGAGCTTTTTGGTCAAAAACTTTAAAAACAAGATTTACCCAAGATTTAACAAATTGGTTTTTACATTTACTCCCAGAAATCTACCTGTAATTTGCTCATGGCCACTACTACAGCAGGTAAGTGCTGTAAAATGATACAGATTGAAAATTAAATTAAATCAGCAGTTTTGGCTGTGAAAAACAAAGTAAGGTCTAATGGCTAACAGTAATATTTTAGTAAGGTATGCTAACACTTTCTGACTTTCATTTTTGATAAAGAAATGTTTCCTTTCAAACTGTCTTTTGTATTATGTGAAGACCATTGTGAATGATGTGAAGTATTCACAAATGGCATTGACATTAGTTTCATTTTAAGGTAATTTTTTTTTTTGCTAATATTTTTGCTAATAAGTAATTCTAGCACTCGTCTACACAACATGCACAATATTGTGAGGATCTGCATAACAGTAATTACTGAGCTTACTACCCAGTGCTTACAATAATAAAAACAGTTAATTGTGAAATCACAGAAGAGCTGCACTCTGTAAAATATCACTCTCTCCTGGCCCGTAAGCAAGAATGGGGTCTGTATTGGATTAAGAACCTGCTGAACAAGCTGAACAGTAAAAAACAATTTAGCACCAAGTGTGGCACCAGAACATACTATACTGAAACAACATAGGAAATTCTTGTAAAGTTCATTACATCCTAGTTCTCTTTCTGCACTACATTCCAGGCAGTGGATTCTAAGCAGAACAAGGATTTTAAAACCCTTTATCAAGAGCACCCTTTTCTGTTACAATGAATTAATTTCCACATGTATAACTATCCACAAACTGACAAACGCATGAAAAGAAACATTGGCAACTGACAGATATTTGCATGGGTAAAAAACAAATCAAAGACAAACAGTACTTAAAATACCTGTAAAGGTATCGGTACTGGCTTGGAAAAAGAGAATTTTTTTGGTATTTACATATATTAGTCAAATGTGGTAACCACAGGATGTAAATGCTGAAATGTTTGCCACTTACAATAAAAGACAAAATATACAGAACCATTTTATCTTTTCCCGACTTCTAGTGGTTTAGTTCACTCATTCAGGAGACGGAGACATTCAAGATTCTAGTATGAGGATACAATTCAAAGATATTAGTCGATCAGTAGTAATCAACCAAGTATCAGTAAAATACCCAGACACTAACAATGGAGTGACGGTGATAAAATGAAAGAGGGTATTACTGACAATATCTGCAATTACTAGTTGAAATTTAGTAAGCTTACAAATGCTCCAGCAAAAGCAAGTGAAGCTTATTTTTGTAATGAGCAGTTACAGGACTGTCAAGTTCTATCAGATGTGTTATGAATTAATTTAAACTCTGAGGAATTTGAGCTCATACTCAATTCTCTTGAGATCAGAGAAGGATTTGAATAAAATTTCACAGGTTAGTATACTATTCTACCATGCCAGTTAGCGCACGTAATTATTAATTTTGTAATTTCAGAAAACAATCAGGCATGCATGGTAAAACTCAACTACTCAAACTGGGACAGCATATTCTCTGGTTAACCCTCTCCCAGACATTCACTACCCATCTACCCAATGCAAGATAGTAACCATGAGACCAAAAGTCAATGGCAAGGACTGTGTAACTGAGTTCTGACAACAGCAAGTGACTTTATCAGTAGGCATAGTACCCTGGCATGTGTTACCCTTCACAAACATAACAAAAGTGACTTAATGAACTTTAACATAGGAAGAAGCAGTAAAAGATCTTGCCTGCTACAATTTCCAACTGTGACATCCATTAACAGGGACAGCATATTTACATTCCAATCATTTCAATGCTGTCTGACAGTGGAAACAAGAGAGGCTGTCTTCCAGGTTGTAACTAACATGTACAGTTTCATGTTAGACAGACATCTTTTGATTACTCAAAACATGAGGAAAAGTAATGCTGGAATTTTAATTTTATTCGAGTAACAAGCATTTTTCCTCATTCTTTGAATCACTGCAACATTTCATGATTGTGTAACTTAATTCTTGAGATGATGCAATTCCTGATAAATATTTTTGTCAACTTTATTTTGGCAGCTCAGATATAACCTGATTGGTAGGACCCTTGATAAATTGCAGTAAAAATAAAATTGCACCCCAACTGAGGAAAAAGTAAAAAGAATGGGGATTCAATATACCTAAATTTACTTAAGTAATAATAACAGTAATTTACCAACTCCAGTCATATTGTTTTTTACCTGACTGTACTTGCATGGGATGTTTTGCAGACTATAACTCCTTTAAAACTCAGTTATACAGCTTACTGAAATGTATGTCTGTATTTGAGAATACCTTGGTAAATTCATAATAAGACATTTATTTATAGACATCTCAGTGCTACAATTAACAGCCAACTGATATTTTCCATTTTTAAATCTTAAAAATTCATCAACATCTGACTACTGCGCGAGCTATAGGAGAAAGTCAGGAAAAACAGACAGGATATGCAGCAAATCTCAGCCCTGTGATTCTATAACATGCAACAATTCCTTGCATGTAATATATAACATAGTTGCGGTACACTGATAAAAACTGCTACAAACGCCAAATAATGCAAAATCTGCTAGTTAATTGGGCCCTACTAAGTGGACAATTGTGAAAAGGAATACAATGTAACTACAGATCTACGACAAAGAGGCTTACTAGACATTGTCCTTCTTCAGGTATAATAAGTTAAGACCTCAACAAACTATAGTGTATAATGACCTCAGGTCAAAATGAATTGAATCGTGTTCTTCCCTTGGCTGTGTTAGTTTCGGATCCACTTTGAGCAGAGTTCTCCTGTTTATATTTCAGATCAGAAAAGCCCATTGCACCATTATTTGTCAATTTATTGTTGCCACCTATTCAGACCTGCTTATAAGGAGGAATGTTAACTGGGGTAATGATTCAAATTAAAATCAGCTTCATTTCACTAAAAGAATTAAGCATGTTTGGTTCACCTTAGAGTTTGCTCCCTTTTAAACATAAAAACGTCATCAAAGGTCTTAATCTGGGCAGGCACAACAATAAATTTCAGAGTACAAAAAATGGAGTATCCTGCTTCCTTGATCTGTCATCCAGAGAAAGCATGAGCTGTGCTTGAGCTGTGGTGGTGAAGTACAAGCACCAGGCTCCAGTGTAGCTGCTGACACGGTAAGGCTGTATGAATGAGGTATGCAGAGACAGGATGCTGGGAGAGCAGTGAGAAAGGGTACTCACCAGAACGGCCGCAGTCTGAGCATGACACCAACTCCTCTGCCTGCCCTGTCTTTCTGTTGGAGCCAGAGTCCCCAAGGCAGAAATCACAGTAGTTATTGGGAATGATGGTCCCATCAGGACCCTTCTGAGCTGTGGTGGACACAAAACAATGCAATCATAAATCTGGTCAAATACTAATAAAGAGGGTTAAAAACTGTTTTTTGGTTGTGAGAATTTTTCATCCTATACCTTTCAAAAGGGTCCCCACATGAAAAAATGTTTCACCTACCCCCATTCAAGATACACCTTTGGAACTTGAAACTCTGGGCAATAGTTAGGCAAGTTTTTTTCCCTTGTTAAATTCAAACCAAATGTGCTTCACCATTTTATGCTACACTGCACAGGCAGGATATACTGTATGATGTATTGGCTGGAGACTTATAAGTAGAACAAGCTGCACAGAAAAACATCATCAAGGGTTGATTTGCCTGATTATGTCCTGTGAGCCTTCCTTAAGAGGTGTCTTATGGGTCGACCAAAAGACTTTTAAATCAGCACCCAGACAAAAACCTTTTGGAATATGGTGCAATTAATTTAAAAAATACATTTATTAATTTCACTTAACAAGTATGTTTTTTGTGTCCCTGTTGTCCCTTCACATCTGCACACAGAAAAAACTGACAAAAAAGTCCCAAAACGGGACTAAAGTTGAAAAATACACTGAAAATTACATTCTTTTAGATGAGGCGGGTTTTTTAACTCAAAGTGAAATTTACGGACTGCAAAAACATACCTACTTGTAAGAACATGCAATTAGCCAAAATCAAGAGAAAATTATCTTGAGAATTTAGTTATGATTAAAACTCTGCTAAAATCTTAAACAGTTAGACTCTTTTATAATGACAGTGTGATCATCACCTTATTTCCTAATGCAAGAAATTGTATATGGCTAATAAAGTGATCTTATCTTACCAGCAGCCATATCACCCTGCAACTCACAACTGGCAACCCACTGAAGCTAAGCAGGTGTGAGCCTGGTCAGTACCTGGATGGGAGACCTCCTGGGAAAAACTAAGGTTGCTGCTGGAAGAGGTGTTAGTGGGGCCGGGGGGGGCGCTCACCCTGCGGTCCATGTGGGTCCTAATGCCCCAGTATAGTGACGGGGACACTATACTGTAAACAGGCGCCGTCCTTCGGATGAGACGTAAAACCGAGGTCCTGACTCTCTGTGGTCATTAAAAATCCCAGGGCGCTTCTCGAAAAGAGTAGGGGTGTAACCCCGGTGTCCTGGCCAAATTTCCCCATCGGCTGTTATCAATCATGGCCTCCTAACAATCCCCCTCTGTGAATTGGCTTCATTACTCTGCTCTCCTCCCCACTGATAGCTGATGTGTGGTGAGCGTTCTGGTGCACTATGGCTGCCGTCGCATCATCCAGGTGGATGCTGCACATTGGTGGTGGTGGAGGGGAGTCCCCATTACCTGTAAAGCGCTTTGAGTGGAGTGTCCAGAAAAGCGCTATATAAGTGTAAGCAATTATTATTATTATTATTATTATTATTATCTCATCTCTTAGTACAATGATAGCCACATGAATATCTGTTACCAAAGCAACTGAAATATAGCTTGGTCCACTTTCTGATGCTGCTTATAAGGTTTTGCTGGGAGAAATATTTTCTGTAACAAATTTTGAGAGCTCTTCTGTAACATAGTCAATTTCCTTTTGGCACTCCGCAAAGTGCAAATTCCTCCTGCATTTCAGGAGATGAGGGGCCTTACGTTTGTGGTTGTCCTCGTGCTGAGCGGGTGGAGAGCGGGGGGGCTCCGAATCTCTCTCATCCTCGCCCTCCTCCTCGGCCAGGTGGGTGTGGGCGTAGTGGTAGCTGAGGCCTGGGCGGTTCTTGTACCGCTTCCCACAAACTGTGCAAGGGAAGTCATGAGAGACGACAGTCGATACACAGTTCAATTTAAAATTCTCACAGTGAAAGTATTACCTCTTTGTTGGAGTTACAAAAGGAAAGATAGTACCTACAGTAACCCAGAAATTACAGAGATTTAGGTTTTCTCTCAATCATCCATTTTTTAAGCCAAACTATTTTTAATTATACCATACCACAAACTGGTTAGATAATTGTTCGCGTTTATGTTGCAGTGGTCTCCCTTTGTTGGCGGCAAGGACATTCCTTTAATTTACATTCTTTCAACTTCATTCCTGAAGGAAGCAAGCTAGACCGCCAGCTCACAGGGGTTTACTGCTTGTAATCTTTAACAGGTGAGTGCTAATCACCGGGGAAGAAAGAGCACAGCATTTGGCGACACCTCATATGGCGATGTAAAGTAAAAGAAGGTCCACCTCCCCTCTTTTGATAGGGCGAGAGAGGGGAAGAAGGTGAGCAAGTGTGGGATGTGGGAGAGGGGGAAGGGGGGGAAGGTCAAAGAAATAGTCTTGGCAGTCTAACACTGGGGCACAGAGTGCTACATTCCCCCCATCCCCCTCCAAGAGTTTCCTAGCCCCCAAGGGAGACTCCAAAGACTTGGAGGTAGACTAGCAGTTTCCTCTGCCGCCTTGGGAATGTAGGGGTGTTGTCCTGATTTTCTAATACTGAGGAAGCCACACATAGCCCAGAACATGCAAGACTCAAATGGTTAGAATTAATCTCCTGCAGGACTCCAAAGCAACTGAGGAAGTGTCCCATGAGAGCACTGCACACTGTCTCTTCTTGCTTGTCTGGTAGCACATACACCTCAGACCAGTGACTGAAATAATCCATTACTACTGATACAACACTGGTCACCCCTTGGGGAAGGGGGCTTAAGATATACAGGAACCCCCCCGCTTTAAATTGTTTCAGGTTGCTAGATTCCACCCAGGCAGGTGGGAGGAAGGAAGGATGGACAATATTAGCAGTCAACTCTGTGCCCAATAGCACCTAGCATGATACACACGGGCCTTTGTGCTAGGCTGTGTTAGAAGGGGGTAGAATGTGTCCACTGAAAACCTCTTTCACTTCATGTGCCTTCTGAAGGACAGCTTCAAGCCTATGTGGACTTGGTATCTTAGATTATAAAAGGAGGCCGACATTTAAGAATGGGTGGTTAGTTGTTCCAGGGCTAACCATTTGAACCAACTGGGTTGTCAATTTAGTCAACAATACATTGTTTGTACAATTCACACTTTGCAGTTCTATAGTTTAATGTGCCAAGATCCTTGTGACAGACTCTTCCTCCTTCAAAGAAGGTCATGATCAAGTCTTCTGGCTAAATACTTTCTACAGGCAGTGCTGAAGGTACTTTCTTCTGTATGTGATCTACACCTCAGCTTGATAGTGTCAGTTGGGGTCACAAGTGACCAATAGTCCATTAGCTCAGTTTGGGATCTTCATATACCCATTTCCTCAGGCATCCAAAGGCTGCACTTGCACATTTCAGGCGATGTTGGATCTCTGTGTACGTCAGCCATTTGTGAGAGATGTCTCCTGTTCACCAGTCTCCTGATGCTCTGAACTGCCAGAGCCTGCGAAACTGCTCATTGAGAGCTGACGGATAGAAAACCTTTGTCTTCAGCATGTTAAGTGTCAATCCCCAGATCTTCCTGTAAGCCCTGATAGAGATTTGAATCTTTCTGTTGTATTATAATTGAGACATACAATAAGCAAAATAACCATGAACTGTAATGTCGTAGTTTAAAAATGTATTAAAACTAAAATGCAGATTCTGACATAAAACTAATTCAGGATACTAGTAAATATCAAGACTACTCTGACTAGGGAAACTGTTTTGTTTCATTTGCTTTCTTAAACCAGTAATATGTAAAACGTTTGTATTAATCTAGTTTCATAATGAGACACTCTGTAGTATCCATGCCATTTTTGGATACATACTAAACTTTTGCAACAGGTTTTTTTCAGTTTCTTTTCTTTGGACCCATATGTAATTCACAGATTAATAGACCTTAGGTACCTTTCTTTCTCATTTCAATGTTTAAACAAATCTTTACCTCACACAGCGGAGAAGGACTGGGGTCGAAGGTTTCAACGGTTCAAAAATGATCCCACTTTCAAGTTTCTCATTTAGTCATCTGTTCTGCCAGGTGTTTCTTTTCATCCATACTGTGACACTGTGAGTGTTTTGTCTTGCAGGTCACATACAGCTTCAGCAGAGCTCTATTGGCACTTACTGTCACACACATAGGGCTTATCCTGATCCTCTGTCATGGCTGCCTCTGTCCTCCGCCTTCCTGTACCTCGGCCCTGAAAAGCACACCGGAATCATGAAACCACCTCTTCAGTCTATTCTGGAATAAGTCTGATCTCCTTACACATTTGTTAAAAACAAAGGGAGGAGAGTGAGTTGTACTTTTGTCAACAATACCAAAATGTTACAGCCAAGTGAGAGTGAGCATACAACTCTATGCAGATCCCAGAATATGGCAGCATATAGTCTCATATTTTTCCAGAGTTTAGCCTTCCCATGTCCAGACATTTTATCCTAAACACAGGATTTTGATCTGATACCAGCCTTCTCTTCTATGAATTTATTAGCTTGTCTAGCATGTACAGTAGCAGGCTCTTCCAAACTCATTTATATGGTATATACATCCATAATTTACATTAAATCTGTTCTGCCAGAAGACACTTAGATAGCTTCAGGAGCTTAAGAACCCTGTTACTGTAAAGGCTACCAATAGAACACCAAGTATTGCTACCCATTTACCAGAGAGGTCAACCAGTTTGGTCCTAAGGGTGTATCCTTGAAGGCACTAAAGTTTAAAACATGAGCATGCAACCTATAACAATCTAATTAACAGGAATTAATTAACAGGAGAATATCTTTTAGTGGTTAAAGTGAGACATTTGAGTTGTAACGGAACAGAACATTATATCAGGCTGAAAAGTTAATTAAAAAAAAGCATTTGTAGCCTTCTTTAGGGCGTGAGAATAACCAGCTCTGAAAACAATCGAACACAACTGATCCATATGAATAAGGTGAAACTGATTGAAAGCATGCATTCTGATAAAATCTTACAATGTTCTTTTCAGTACAATTAATCTAGGAGTAAAATTTAATTAAATGCTTGATAAGACAAAAAAGCAGCACTATTCCATTAGAAACAGTATTGCATTTACCAAAAATTAATACCACTCATAAATGAAACTTTTTTTACATAAATAAAATCACCTCGTAGATTTTGCCTAACCACAATACCTTATGTGACAGAACTAACACATGACTAACAAATCCCAACACTGCTCCACAGAGCAAGCAAAAAGAGTTAGGGAGTGGGCTAGGAGAGCAGAGGATGGCATTTCTGAAGCACAGCTTGCTTGATATCGCCTCTCAGTGAAATACTCACCCGTCCTTTGGTCCTGTGCTTCCGTTTTGGAGTGTCCACTTCAAAATCTTCATCGTCATGGAAACCGTCTCCATTTTCTTCAGCTTCCAGAACTCTCTGAAGTGAAGGAAGAGTCAAAGAAATGGAGGGGTGGTGCACAGGGCAGATCACAGATTTAAGAATAAAAGAACCTTACAGCAACCAAAATAAAAACACCTCATTTGCTGCGGTAGGAGTCCCTTTCTATTTGTATTGTAACCTATGACTGTAATGCTTTGACAAAAGTAGACAAGTGCTCCACTTTTAGTTCAAAGCCCACAATTACTTCACTCCCACAAGAAACCCTGGTGCTAATTTTACTCAAGCACTTAAAAGAAATGAATACTTCTTTAATGTGTTCTTTTGTTTCTTTCACATATTTCAACTTGATGGGTCCAGTTACAACTTCACAGCACAGTCTACTAATAAGTGCTTTTTAATAGCTATTGTTATGTTTGTTTTTGTTATTTTCACCCCTCCTCCCCCTCCATTGTTGTCTTTCAATTTTTTGTGTTTACTAAATGCCCTGCTGGTGGCTATTTCACACACCCCCTTTATCATTTGTGCCTAATTACTGACACAAGCAAGCAATAATTATTTTCATAAGGCGTTCATCAATTCAGCCTTCACTGAGCCATGACAGTGAAAATTTCCCAGCATAAACAGATTATGTTCTCTAACCTTTAAAACAGATGACACGCTGACCCACTGGAAGTTGACTTGATCATCTGATATTATATATCTGACCTACTATTCTTCCTCCATTTTGTTGGTAAGCATTCACGTCTTGTGTGGGTTATGGGTGCATGCAAAGGGATTGGTGTGGGATTTTGAACCTCTCTATAAACATACAGGATTGCCTTGCCGAAGAAAGAATCATGCCTCCATTAAGGGATACTTGCAAAAACACTTGCTCAGCTTCGGCTGCTGACAGAAGATGACAAGCTACAGCTTGAACAGATGCTGTCTCGTCAAGCCCGAGGACAGGCCTGTGCTCGTTGCATGAGCAGGTAAAGTGAGGCTTCAAAGCTTCCCCCCACCACCAGCATATGTCACTATCCCGCTGGGACTAACCTGGATCTCCAGCAGGCTCTCATCCTCCTTGGAGTTGCTCTTCTTCTCCAGCCCCTCTCCTCGCAACAGAGCCTCCAAGGTGGTCCCCTCTGCGGGCTGGCTGTCCCTCTTCTGTGGGAGCTCTCCCTCTGGAAGCAGACAAAGCAGCAGAGCCATCAACCCTCGAGGGCCTCGCCTGGGACGAAGTCAGCTCGAGAAGCCAGTTATGAACCTGTCTCATCAACACCCGGTACACTTGAAGAGGCTGTGTCATTACTGTTGGTTTGCTTGTTTGGTATGTTCCACCCAACCACAAAAAAATGTATCAGACCCTCTCTAGTAAACGTGATTCATTTTCAAAAACTGCAGATCAACACAGATCATGATCGTGCCTTCCTTTAAATTAATTCAGTGTGCTGTATCACCCTTATCAAGGCAAAATCAGCAACTGAGTTAATGAAACTGAAACACAGCGGAGCTCAAGATAAAATGATGAAAAACACAAGGAAGAGTGTAAACAGTGCAGGATTAACAATCTGTTTATAATTTTATTGATTTTAAATTATTTTCCACACTATCTATTTAGAAACATAAATACCCATCAGATAATCTTAGAATAATGCTGATGATGATTATTATTTTGATGATTACTGGGACAGTAGTTACAAATGCAGTACAACTATTTTGTTGGGGTTTTTTTGGTCCTTCAATTGCGTTCTAGGTGCTTAAGAGTTTAAGATGAATGCCAAATTAGATTTTTTTTCTTTTAGCCAGTTATAAGGCTCAGAGCAGAAAAACAGCCATTTGCAATGTAAACATCCACATTATAGTTCATTAAAGTTCCACGTAATGTGTATAAAATAATCAGTATGAATACACAGGAATACAAAAGGGAAACATTTAGAAAAGAGTCATAAAACATTGACTTCTGACCTGATATTGACCTGGAAAGATGAAAGGCATTCCTGTTTCTATACCAATCCTTATCAGATGGTTTCACTCCAAAATGAAAGGTTGCCTTTCTATGATTTCTAATAATAAAAAATGAAACCATTAAATTAAAGGATATAAGCAAGGTGGAGGATGAGGGTGGAATAAGCCAGCTTTATTGAATGCTGAGCCACACTGAAGCCCTTTCCATTGTGTCTGCTCAGGTTGACTTTCAGCTGTCAGTGACTAGACAGCTCCCCCCTGGGAGATGGATCTTAAAATAGAGCAGGCTGCTTCTGCAGAGCTCATTCCACATGCACTCCAGGTTACTGCCATGGCCAGATGAACTGTGCCTACAGATTCCCATATCAAAAGGAACACAGCGCCAGCAATTCACCAGATGTTCTGGGTAACAGAACAAGGAAAACAAAGGTTTTTAACTGAACTAAAAAAGAGACCCAAAAAGCCACCCTTATTTTTTTGCTGATGTAAGCAAAAAGGTTTTAAAAATCTGAGATCTTGTTAGCATTTTCATGTAAGTGCACACCCATTTTTTTTTTAGATTCACATATGTTGGTTGTGTGGTATAAGATAGTGAATTACTTCCTTGAGATAACAGTTTCAATGGGTTTCTTCTCATCCCATTCTGTGAACGCTGTAGTTGTAAAAAAGCACACAGACTGCTATGTAGATGAATTAAAAACCAATTTTACAAAGAGCTATGAAATGCAACCAATCAGTATTTAGTTCCTCTTGTCTGAGGTGACGTGGTGATGCTGGACACCCTACTTGGGGTTTGACAAAGCTGAATGTGATGAAAATAGCAATGGAAACTAAATCAGCTAACATGTCAGGTCCCCATTCTCACATGATACGTGCTTCACGATGCCTTTTCTCAGGTCGAGTGGTTTTCGAAGTTTGTGCATCAGGAGCTACTTAATGTACCATGAGAAGTGTGTTCTCAATAAAAATTATTTAAGTTCTCAGTGTCTTGGTACTGACACAAAAATGTACTAATTCCTTGCAAACAAAACTGCAATATTAAAAATGCTCATAATTCCCATGTTATAGCAATAAGGTTTAAAAAGATTTGGAATCGCTGATTATAATGAATTAATTGTTTAATTCATTCCATTAAGTTTGTTTTTGCTCTAATTACTCAAGGCTAAGCACTGGGGACTGCTTCCTGAACAGTTTCATTTTAATTGTACAACCCAGTGACTGGCAACAGTTTTTGCTACTGGTTGGAGCTGTGGGAGAAGACTATAGTAAGAAGCCTGAAAATGAAAATCAGACTCATTCTTTATTCTTGACAGGTCTGCAACACATTCCTTCTAAAACTACTACAAATGAAGAGTTATATCCTTTACTGGAGTGAAAATTAATTCAGAAAGTAAATACACCCAGCCTTGATGCTTTCTTTTATCTGGTTAATGCAACAAATCACCTGATCTGTATAAAAAACATTTTGTTTCTGTAATGTGGAGCCGTTTTAACAAGAAAGAGAGATTTCTTCTATTAATTTCTTTTAAGCACGAGAAGAAATTCACCATAAGTGAATTTCAGTGCAACAGCCTTAATGAAACAGGAAAAAAAGGTTTCTGTAGTAGTATTAGAGCTACAACACAGAGCCTTTTCATTCCAGGGCTCTTTCTAAGAAGATAGATTATTGATGCTTTTGTTTTTTAAAATAAAATAAACAAATAAAATGTTTATTTCATTATTGTTTAGAACAGCAGACATCCTTGTTTCTCTTGATTCTAATGCCTTGCTATCGGTGAACTGAAGGTTATGTGGCCTTTAGTTTGAAGACCAATAATTCAAACATTATATCCCTTTTCTGACAGAAAAATCTGTACCCTAATACCCTTTTCGTGAAAGTGAAAATGTACTCATCAGTGTTCTCATCTCATCATTTGTGTTCTCATCTGATAGAACACAAATTGCCACAGTCATACAGTCCTGACTGAATACATTAGATTGCGAATCTAATCCTTGAATGATGTGACTGAATCCTTGAATGACGAACGGAGAGGTGGCAGTGTGGCTAAGGATCTGCGCCTGTGGCTGGAAGGTTGCTGGTTGAAATCCCGCAGCCTACAGAGGAATCCTACTCCGTTGGGCCCCTGAGCAAGGCCCTTAACCTCAACTTCTCCGTATAAATGGCTGACCCTGCGCTCTGACCCCAAGCTTCTCTCTCCCCATCTGTGTGCTTTTGTGTGTCATGGAAAGCAGGCTGGGGTATGCGAAAAGACAAATTCCTAATGCAAGAAATTGTATATGGCTAACAAAGTGATCTTATCTTATCAGTGTGTAGTGTTAGGGGGGAAACTAAGCTGTTCTACAGTAGAAGAGAGGCCCAAACTGATCTTGAAGACACCAAATGTTGGATTTTATCCTACCGAGTTTGAGCTCGCAAAGGCGTAGCTGGGGGTCTGTGGGGGGATGCAGCCGTCTCTTCTTCCTCCAGCAGCGAGCAGGGTAGGTATACATCTGTCCTGCAGCCACACCTAAACAAACACAGTCACGGTTACACCAACATGGCTGTCTTTTCCACTGGCCAGCAGAAGGAAGCTGAGTCATACATTGTTCTTTGATGTCTGTACCATATAATTCATTTTTAGGCTTGCTCTGTAAGATTATTAGGAATTTAGATTACTATAAATATGATAGTATTTTCTCAGTCACTGTGGGATCATTATTTTTCATGCCTTATATGATTTGCTTTGAAGTATAGTCGATTTCAATTTGGTGGTCAGAGTATGGGATTCCAAATGCATTATAGAGTTTCTCCAATTTTTGTGCCATTCCCAAGTCAAGTTCAGAAAACACAAAGCGCTATTGTCGCACAACAAACAGGAAACACGAAAGACATCAGCTACCACAAAGTATATGTTGTAACCTGAGGCAAAGATATATATTGGTCTAGCCCCTCAGTGAGCGTTCTGTTCATTTGAACATTTTGCTCGGGATTCTGTTTGCCTTCTTAAAAGGGGTATCATCAACATCCCCTAAAAGAACAAAGCCTGTCTCTGAAAGGCAAAGGCCTGACTAAACAGAAACCTTCCCAGGAGGACTACAGTCCTAAGGGATAGCCTCTTAATGAAATAGGATGTGGAAACACTTGGAATTTTTTTATTTCCTGCATATTTGTTTGAAGCAGCAGCTGGACTGAAGTAGCTGTGAAGTAGAACTCAGAGTCTGCGATGAATATTAGAATTGTATTAACAGGGATAAGCTTTTTCTGAGTCGGCCCTCCTTCACCCTTCCTCTATTGGCATCAGCGCTCACCTGGCCCACGGTGGCGCCGTTCCATCCAGATGTAGCAGTTGTTCTGTGCCACCCCGGTCTGGGAATCCAGGAACGGCAGGCGCACACTGCGCTCAGCACACAGACGGGCATTGTAGCTGCGACAGTGCTCAATGGCCTCCTTGTAGAACTGGTCTCCGAGCCTGAGGGACACAATGCAGACAGAAATAGATTGGCCACCGCACTGAGTTTGCACAGTTTTTTTACAAACAGAAGTGCGTGATGAGATTTTTTTTTTTTACAAGAGCGAAAGTTAGCCGGTGTGAATGTCTTAAGCCTGTTAAGTCAAGCAAATCTATGCACACAAATTCCAGAGGTCAAAACAATAGCTAAAAATACTGTCTTTCTGCATCCCTTAGTACAGAAAAGAACAATACAGTTTGTGCAATCAGAAATGTGCGCAGCGGTTTCTCTACTTTGTTTCACCAGAGGCTCAGGTTCAGCCACTATATCTCATCTCCCAGTACCTCATATTCAGCCTCATTCCATCCCACGCTTCAAACAAAAAAATTGGATTTTGTATTCCGTAAGTTCCTTTTCTAGATGGTACACAGCCATTTTTTATCAGGCACAGAACAGCTGGCACCCCTGTCCATCCCTTCCAGATTGTCTGCAGGAGACAGAGAAGTTTGTTTTCTACAGCTGAATGCTCCCCAAATGAGCTCAGAGGCAGAGCAGCTTTCCCCTTTTAGGAATGCGGGAGACAGGCACCCCAAGAGATCAGGAAGCTGTGGCACTCAGCTTGACTTTGAGGCAGGTTTATTTCAGGCATGGCTGCTGAATTTATATTAGGAATGTGATCTTCTAACCAGGGACTTTGGACCAGATATTCAAAAGAGCTGCAGATTTCAAAAGGATATTTCCTCCCGTGTGCCAGCTGTAATCAGACTGACAAGCCATTAGGGCTCGCCAATCATTTTAATTCAATTTAAATGTGCAACATTTTCCGTTTTCTAAAATAATTATTAAATTTCGTCTTTTATTTTTTTCTCTCCTGCAGTGGTTTGCCTGCAGATGCTTTGACATTTTTTTAAGAGATTGAAAACTATACCAGATGCAAGCAATTTGAATCACCTATTTACATTTAAATGCCTGCATGTTTTCACTTCTTGAAAATGTACGCAAGTTTATCACAGCTTGTTTGTACTTTCACACATTCACTAATAAAACACAGCTGTAAACCTGGTATCTAATAATATATAGAAATATGTAAATGTACCATATGTCTATAATTTTTAAGTGTCTACTTTGTTTTTTTGAGAAGATTCACTAAATCCAGTTTCTAATGATAATCCATAACTATTACTGTGGATACATTTTTGTTCAATTGTTGCAGACTGTTTAGTCATTGAAGATATGATATATTGTGCAGCCCCTAGTCTCGTATTATACAGTGTTAGGCTTCTTGATTGTCTAATTAAAGATGAAGAACAGTCCAGAGACTGTCCTTAAAAAAATGTCTAAGGACAAAGAAGTCTTAGAAAGTGCAAGAGAATGAACCAAGTAAATTGTTATGACAGACAATAGTTTTAACTTTAACAGATGATAGCGGAGGGTATTCTCGTAAGAGCCTTCATAATCCTGAACAAAGTGAACCTTTGTTCAACTATGAAAAATTGGGGACATGAAAGAAAGCTTAGTAATGGCAGCTTCATAAGTGAAGGAAAGATACACCTTCATGTCAAGTACAAATGCTTAGAATTCAAGGCTACTAAATAAAAATATTCACTCAGTAATCAACTAGATGCTAGACACTATGTTATGGTCGCTTGAATTATGGGAATTAAGTGTGCTCTCATGAGCCAAAGGGTCCTCTCTCACTCGAGGCAGTTTTTTATGTGCTTGTCTCTTTCATGTGACAGCCCCCACACACACTATCAAGACTAAAATGTATTTTGTTTGTTTAATTTATGGCTTTTAATTACTTTACGATTGTGAAACCGAATATAGTGTAATAATTTCTCCTGGCTGGCAGGCAATGGATGAGTAGGTAATAAAAGCACTAGGAAACAGGATTAGAGCAGAGGGCTCCTGGAGGGTTCCCAGAGGAACTTGGTTTGGGTTTGTGCCAGCAGCCACTGGATTGCAGAGCACACTGTGCAAAGCTGTCCGATACAACACAGCAGCCCTACATCTGTAACTACATTTACACTAGGACCCAAAATTGCACCGTTCTGCTTGTAAACCACCTGCTTATCCATGTCCAAATCAGGATTGTTAAAACAATCTGCTTGTGCATTCTGTGTCTCAGAGTATTTGTATGTCTGGCTATAACACAAGCAGAGCCTTTTAGGTACAAAGACAGAGTGATTGGCAACCGAAAGGAAACCCTTACTGTTGCAGCAATACAGCTACCAAGGTCAATTAACTCAAATTACCTTTCACTATCAGGATTTACTGTCTTTGAAAACCAATGGCAAGGCTATGAAACGTCTGGCATTTTCAGAGACTGGCGTTCCTAAAGCAGTGATTATAAAGCAAACCAGGTTACACCAATGCAGCCGACTGTATAAATCACTGTATGACATCAAGGGCTCAGGGAATGGGAGCACAAAGACACAGCTGCAGCAACAGCCAAGAACGTGGCACCAGAAGCCCTCCTACAGCCCTGGGCAGCTCTCTGAAAGGACATGTCTGCTTAACTGCGAGGCTACAGTAATTTTCCACATGCGATGATTTGCTGCTTATTGTCCAATCCACCTCTTACAATGTCGCATAACAGTTTACGCACAAAGGGGCTCATTCATCAACAGTCACTACAAGCTGCAACGTGAACTGCGATAGCAAAGTGTAACACAAACATGCAAACAGATATGTTATGTTTTTAATTATTCGGAGCTACAGACACATGCAGAGCTTGGTACTCAACCTAATGAACCTCATCAAAAGTGTAATAACCTGTAGTACTAAATGAGTAATGTGTATGATTCAATAGCAAAATGTCAAAGTTTATGTTTGCAAAGCTAAACATGCTCTTAAATCCAGAATAGCTGAACACTACAGTGTTCAGATGAGTATAATGAGTATAATACTATAATACTACAGTGTTCAGCCACATTGAGATATGTTACCTACTTCACTGAAGTTTAGCATCCATTTTCATATCTAAGGTATTTTGGGACTGAAAATGTTATATCACTGAAGAGGGAGGGTGACTGCCTTTTGGATTTGTTACCTTGAAACCGTTATTCCTAATTAGATTATATTGAATTCTATTAGAGATCACTTCTTTATATAAAGGATAATTAAATGCCTTATTTTATTGATGCTAATTGAATGATTGGCATTTATTCAGAAACTTGATTTATTACGAATTGTAAACTAATTATTTAATTGCATTTTAATAACCCTTATCTGGTGTAACAAAGGTTATTACAATGTGCAACAGTTTACAAATCAGACTGATTCTGACAATATCATCCAGCTTTCTCAAATTTATGCTTAACTATATGTCAGATGTAGGCAACTCCATTAGTGACAATGGCATCATTAAACTTAGAAATTACATAATACTTAATTGGAAACAGCAGAAAACAACACAGCAATTGACCAAGTTTGATAACACTTTTAAACTAATTAATGAATTTATGCCCATTTGCAATTCTATTATACTCATCTAATTACGTATACATTCTACCAAGGTATAGTTCTTCATTGATAGGACTTGTCTTATCTTGCATAATTTGACCTTTAATATGAACAGTTGTAAATATATAGGTTTCTCAGTGGTTCTTTCAAGCCATTTACCCTGACGTAGGCATTTCTTGTCAAAATATTTAAAGTTCATTTACATAACCAAAAGTATTTTTGAAAAGTAATCAGGTCTCTTCCCCTTCTGCATTGCGGTCTTTCTTCACAAAAAAAAAATCAAGAAATCACACAATTATACCCAAACACTGGCAAAATAAGACACTTCATTGCTTAATATTGATCAACATTGCAATTACTCAAAACTTTCTATATTAAACTCAACTTGAAATGTCTTTCACCTTCTTAAATACAATAGGAACACTCTGCAATGAAAGCAGGACCTTCAGACATCTGTCATTCTCCATGTCTTATAATTTAGAAGATGAATCTACCAGGCTGATTCTCAAACAATTTCTACGTGGCAGATCAACAACATGGCTTATGACACCAATCCAAGTATTACAAACTGAAAGCAAAAAAAAATGTCACCTTGAATCAATTCTCAGCTTGTTTCCCTGAGTATCATAATGTTGTGTTAGATGAAATCGACTTTATTTAATCCGTTCAGTGTTCTGAAGACACCGGTCATGTTGTTAGTAAAGAATGAAACTATTTTTCTCTTTGAACTTTGCATCACAGCTCATGAGATTCAGATGAGGAACCAGTCTAGCAGCTGGCCATTTTAGAATCTTTCCTAAACAACGTTTAGCGTCCCCTGATCTTACAGAATTGATCTTTGTATAGCTTCTTGCCAAAACTTCACTGCAAAATTGATTAGAATGAGCAAAGCACCACTTTTTTGATGGATTGATAAGGTCAGCACCCTTCTAACAAAGTCATGGAGGTGAACATTTTATTAAATCAAAAGGCCGTAGTATCAATAAGACATACACATCTGTCAGTATCCATAGAGTTTTATACACATTATTATTGATGTTGTTCTTTATACAAAGCCATTTTTTTATTTTTTATACAATATCATAACTAATCATAAACAGCAGCACAAATGAGAAACAATAAAAAACAAGTTCCTGACACATGCATCATATTTTGAATGCAGATCATTCGATGGCAGCACAGCCGATGATAGTGCAACTGACTCCACTCCAAGCTTTGCTTCTGGCTGCTTCTTTGCCGACTTTGAAAACAATGGCATTGCTGTTGAGCTCATCAATGATGACAGAAACATGTTGCCATTCTGTAAAGGTACAATAGGAAAGCCGAACGGGTCATCATTCCCTACAACCTGACCCAGACTGTATGTACAGCCCCCTCCCCCAATATAGGTGCTGAATAAGTGGGTTGAAGTCTCTTTCCAGCTGGCTGGCCCTGCTCGCTGGAGCAGGAATGAACAGAGGCATCCTATTTCCCCTCCCTGATTAGATCTCGGCTCTCTCGTCCAGCAGATGCACAGAAATGTTCGGAATGTCGCTTCTCACAAAGAGAAAAGCGA